TGCAGGGCTGGGGTTGCCATGGAGACTGGTCCCAGCTGCGCTGGTAGGGTGTGTGGCAGGAGAGGGCAGGAGGCTGTTCTGGAGCCCTGGGATCTGGCAGTGGGAGCAGCTTGGTCCAGGGCCTGCACACTTGTTCTGCAGCCTGCACACTGTGGGCAGGGACATGCAGGCAGCAGATCATGGCTCTGCCCTATCTCCTTGCAGTGGTGACAGCCTGGTCTGGAACTGGGGCAGAGCTGCAATCTGCTGCCTGCGTGCCCCTACTCGAAGCATGCAGGCTGCAGATCATGGCTATGCCCTGGCCCCAGACCAAGCTGTCCCCACTGCAAGATCCCAGGCCTCCAGAGCAGCCCCCTGCCCTGCCCTACTATGTACCCTGGTAGTGCGGCTAGGGCAGGTCTTCACAGCAACCCCAGCGATGCGCCATCACAGTGCAGCTGTGGCTGGGGTCTCCCTGGAGACTGGCCCCAGCCATGTGGCAGGGGCTGCTGGGAAATTGAGTCCACTGCTGGCTGGATTCAGCCTGTGGGCAGGACTTTGCCCACCCCTGCCAACTCTGAGGACTCAGCTGCAGCTCACCAGTCTGCTGCGGATCAGTAACATCCAACATGTGCCAAAATGTGGCTTGTGAAGGCATTTTGCATATATGTGTGCTTTGGGGCAGGTGACAGGGAAGCTGCAAGGGGCCTAATCCTTGTTGTGGCAGTGCAGCCCCAGCCCCTTCCCCTTTCCCACCATCTTCCCCAAAGCATGCATGCATCTGCCACCAGCAATGAGCTAGGTCAGGGCTCTATGGATCCTGGTACTTGCAGCCTCCTCACCACCTGCTGCAAGCAGTCCAGGCTCTGTGATGGGTGGCAGGGCCTGCTCATTGCTCAGGCTGGGTGTGGCAGGCAGCCAGAAGGCTGTAAGCAGCTGCATTTGGGTCCCTAGCTTGTTGCTGGCAGTGGTTTCACGTGTGCCTCAGGATGGATGACATAGAAGGGGAGGGCTGCATTGCCACAAGAAGGATTGGGTCTCTTACAGCTCCCCTGACATCTGCCCCTGGCACACCAACATCTTACAAATTGAGGTTGCAGATGTTTTTGGGACTTTGCCCAAAAATATTGCCAACTCCTGCTCTAGCACCCCTGTGTACTTGATTGGCCATCTGTTGGGGCAAGGGGAGTGGTTAAAAAGCAAATTAACTAATAATGACAACAGACAATTGGATTTTAGTGCTGGGCAACCATCTTCTTTCCCATCCACCCTGACCTCTCCATACTGCTGCAGGCCATTGCACCATGGCTCAATTTCCTCTCCCTCACAGTATTAATTTGAACTGAATCACTGTTCATTTGAAATGGCTCTGTCAGCATCCCTGTTACCCAACCCATGCAGTTAGCCTGCTGGGTCTCAGCTTTGCCCCAGTGTGGCATGCATGCAGCCAGCCCTCTGGGTCTCAGGTCCATGCTAGTGTAAGCATAATTGAACTCCTGCCCCCTTTCCCACCCCACACCCTCTCCAACCCAATCCCAGTTCAGTGAAACATGCAAAATTTTGGCCTGAGGCCTATATATTTTTTGGGTTTTGGGGTTTTTTTTTCCCCCCACGCTTTTCTCTTTACATTTTCCCCTTGCCATTCATTACAAACAATTTTTTTTTTTAAAGACTGTTTTCCTCCCGTACACAACTCTGGCAGGCTCCTGCTCATTATAGTGAGGGAAGCCACATTGTAGTGTCTCTGCCTCTGAGCTACATGCTGCCCCCCACCCCCCTTCTCTCACCCTAAAGAAGGAAATGAGTCCTGGCTTCTGTCCACACCCTTGCTCCCTAGTCCCTCCAGGCTAGGGACAGCAGTTGCACACAAACAAGTTTAAGTGATGAGAAACTGGCTTAAACCTGTAACAAAACATAAGTTCAGTGCACATAAAACAGTTTCAAAATGGCTGAAACTTGTTTAAGATAAACTTGGTTCAGTGTAACATCAGATTTAAATGATTTGGGTCAAACCACTTTATGTAACATCTGTCTCAGACTCCTTCCTGGTTTAAGTTAAACCAGAGTCCTCCGGCATCCCAGCATACTCTGCAGTCCTGGGCTGGGCTGTGCTCTCTGTTCCAGAAAGTAGGACTGGCCCCACCCTTCTGCTCTCTAGCCTGAGCAGGAGTAGGGATGTGCCCAGACACATCCTGGCATGGCCCAGTTAAGGCAAAGTGGGCAGGGAGGGGGTTACTTCTTCCCTCCTTCCCCTCCACACCACCCACTGCAGCCTGCGTCTCCCTGTGCAGGCAAGCTGGGGCTGGCAGATCCCAGTTGTGGTCCCTGGAGGCAGAAGGGACAGAGGTAGGAATTAACCTTCTATCTTAATGGGGCCATACCTCCCACCCCTGCCACTGCAGCAGCAATGGGATGGGGAGGGGCAGCAGCCTCTATCAGAGTGCCCAGGAGGAGGTTTATTCCCATCTCTCTTTCCTGTCTGACTGTCAGGGACCACAGCCATCTCAGCATGGCCGCATTAAGGCTAAGGGGGCAGGAAGGAGGTTAATTCCCCCCCACTGGGGTACTGGAGCCAGGGTGGAGCAGCCCCCCTCCCCAGCTATTGCAGGGTGGGGAGGGGGACTCTGTGCAGTGCTGGATGGGGACTCTTCCCCGTTCTCCCCTACCCCTGCCACTTCAGCGCAGGGATAGGGGCTCTGTGTGGTGCTGCCCAGGCTGATCCAGCCCAGCCTGGGCATGGGGAGTGGCTGTTGCTGAGCTGCAGCTACTGAGGAGGGCCCAGCAGCCCAGGGCAGCCCCACTCAGCCCTGGCTGAGGCATCTGTATGTCAGGGCCAGCCTAAGCCACAGGGGTGGGGCCCTCCTCAGTGGCTGCAGCTTGGTGACAGGGAAGCTGAGCCCTGTCAGTGAGAGGAGCCTGGCTTGGTGTGCATGGGTAGTGCTGGCTGAGCAGCAGGCTACCAGGGCCAGCTTGGAGGCATAGCAGGGGCTTGTGTATCCACAGTGAGCCTCTGTGGCAGGCACCTGCTGGGCCAGAAGAGTCAGAAAAGTCCTTCTCTGAGGCCAGGCAGCACTGCACAGCACCCCTCTCCCTGCCCTGCAGCAGTGGGGGAGAGGGAGGAGGAGGATTGGGGAGAATCCCCCTCTGGGGCCAGGCACTGGAGCTGTGTGCCTAGATTGCTCCTGGATGTCAGGGAGTTACTGTGGCAGGCAGAGCTCTCCCCCTCTTCCTTTTTCCCTGTCATGGGGATTTGACTGTGCCCCTGTCTGGCTATGCTTCCTCTTCCCCCACCCTCTGAACCCTGCAGGCCAAGGTGGGGGTTTAAACCCCTTCTCAGTCATACTCAGGCCTGCTGGGGCCTGGCCACACCCCTCATTCCCCCAGCTCAGCTTACCTGTGGAAGGTAAGGGAGGGCTGCTCTAGCGCCCCCAGGCTTCTGGATTCAGCTACTGCATGTGCCTGCAGTTCCAGAATGAAAAGTGGATGTCTGTCCACTTGCAAATCAGTTCAGTCTTTGCAGGTTAGACTAATTTGAATGTCTATCCCTATCTCTAGTGGCAAATTAGTTCTGCAGGTCTGAGATGGCATTAAACCTTAACCTGTGGCTACTTTGAAAGTGTTCTAACTTTATGATGGCAAAGCATTCCACAAATACAAAATGTTTTAAAGATAACCTGTGACAGTCCCCTTATTTGTTATCCGGAGGAAAGAGAATTTATTTCTCCTATTGTCACAAATCATCTATGTTAATTTCTTCTCTTAGGTTTGGGGTTTTTGGAACTTGACTAACAAAAACCACAGCACTGACTCTTTGTATATTGGTCCAGGTTGGAGGACAGTTTTACCTAGAGGTTGCACAGGCCATAAAAATAAATAATACTATCTTTCATTTTTTTTCTCCTTGTTTCTTGCTACACCCTGGTTTTATTGTCTGAGGAGTTGGTGTGGGTCGCACAGTTGTTTTCTATGTTTAGTTATGCCAGAGGAAGTGATAATTAGTGATGAAGGGTTGATTATATAGTAGTGGAAGCACTGACTCAAACAGACATTACTCATTTCTAGAGTTCTAATTTTTAGGAGTTATTGAATTATTCAAAGAAAAAGTACTCTTTAGTGGCATTATCTGAAATTTCTCAGACCATACTTTCAACATTTTTGTTTCTTTTGGAATAACGTGCTACACTTTAGAAAGAACAGAACAACCATAATAATATAGGTTATCACAAACATGGAACAGATCAGGTTAGCTGGTCTATCCTTGTAGCAGTGCAGGATTTTTACCTTATAATGTATTTTCTAGTTCTCTCTCCACTCCCATTTTAAATCTTGCATACAGTTAGGCCTTCTGCTCTTTAAACTGTTTATGCTCTAACAATATCAAGTTTTAATTTTAAGTCCAGTGGCATGGTTAAATATTCACTAGAGACTAGGTTAAGATTAGCAAGGTTATTTTCCCTTTCAACTGAACTCATGTTTGAAGTGTAGTTTCAGTAATCCTGTTATTGGAAATTTTGCTATAGCATTAATTCAAAATTAGACATCAGGACCATATCCTGCCTTCAGTCTGCATACAAAATTCATACAGACTTCGGTCAGCATGCTTTGCACGTGGAACAATGGCAGGCTTTGCTCTTAACTTTTAATTTTAAAGTATAGGATAAGGGCAAATTCTCATGTTAGAGCAATGGTTTTCACCCTTTTTCATTTGCAGACCCCTAAAAAATTTCAAATGGAGGTGTGGACCCCTTTGAATTGTAAGTGTGGGCATTTATATACTTTTGATTGATCAGAATAATCTTTTATGGACCCCTTAGACATAATCTGTGGACCCCAGGGGTCCACAGACTACAGGTTGAAAACCACTGCTTTACAGGCATCTTTGAGGGATAAATACATGATAATGCATGAATACACATCTATGAAAGTGATTTTCTATAAGCATTTACATTTTTTTTAACCTTTAAATACTTCCACTTTATTCTGATTCTCTTTTTTCCTATTTTTTCCTTTGTTTTCTTAAGCTGTCTAATAACATTTTGGATATATACAACAGTGACCAGGGAATATCACCTGCTAATATGGGTCTTACAAGTGCTTCCTGCCCAGCTATCCTACCAGTAAAAAGGGAAATCACAGGTAATATAGCTCTGGGATCTTGGCATGTTTGTTGTAAAAGTTCAAGTAATCTTACAATAAGATACTTGTGAAATGTATTTTTTCTTTAATATTATGTTAGTTAAGACTTACAGGGTATGTGCTATTCCATTTAAAAAGGCTGAGCAAAGATCAAGGGAAATGTTTACACTGTGTTCTCTACTTTAGCAACTTAGAAACAATGTCTGTCCTGTGACTTTTATGAACATCATGCTTCTAATGAACCTAATTATTTTAGGAAACCACGGATCCTTCCACATTTTGGCTCCTGATCAATGGTATAAATAAATTATCATCCATTAAATTTGTTCCAGGGTAGAACAAATGGCTCTTTTAAAAGCTTACAATAAGTCTATTCAAGGTAAATCTATATTAATGGATTAACAACTTTAAAAGTTACATTCAATTAATCCAAAGAATGCTAACAACCATGTACAGTTTATTAGTGTCACTCAAAGGAAACAGTGAGTTTGTTCAACGTGAGTATCTTAAAATCTGATTTACTCTTGCATTATGGGATATACAAATCCCGATTCACATTAGTTTATTGTAAGGACTTTTTTCTGTGATGTAAAGTTCAGTGAATTGGAGAAAAGTACTAAATGCAATGTACTTTCTCAGTATTTCTAAATGTTTTAATTAAAAATGCATGATCAATACATCTTTAGAAACCTGCCAGACACTTGAAAATGTATTACTGGTTGAATGTAGATGTAGTGGCATTGTCTTTTTGTGGGAATTGATAAAAAATGCTAAAGGCATAGCCTAAAAACCTTGTCTTAATGAAAAGGGGCATTGTAACAGGAAACCAGTATTGTAACTTCAACTCAAGGACTTATTTAATAAATGTTCCTTCCTGTCAGAAGCAGATACACGAGCAATGGCAAAGGAGAGACAAAAAAAGGATAACCACAACCTCAGTGAGTATATGCTCTTCAATATTATTACGTTGTGTAGAGAGTACAGGAAGAGAACTTGCCAGCTATCAGCTCTTTGCTGTTGTCCAAGATTAAGAGAAGAGATGCATATCTGTAGGCAAAATGAAAAAGCACTCAGTCTACAAACACAGAGAAACATATTTGTTTTCTTTCTCGAGATGAAATTGTTACTTTGAAATTGGACTGTTTTTTTCACTTGCAGAACACCTCCCACATGTAGAATTAATTAAAATAACACCTGTTTCTTTAGACTATGGAATAATCTTTGGTGCAGACATAAGTTATATTTATTGCACAATAGGCCCCCTGAAAGCACTCTACAGTCATGCCTTGACACATGTTCATGGCTGCAAAGTGCTATAAAGGGGCTGATCACATGACAAATTAACACTTATCTAATGAGGGATCAGAAGAAGGCACTCCAAAGTGGAGCACCATGTCTGTTCCCTAGGGTCAGTCTGTCAGTGCAACCAGGGCTAGGCTGATGCAGCCCAGCCCCACCCCTGGTGTGGTCTGCAGGGAGGGAGGAGGGGGAGGGGAAACTGTGGGCTGGGGTTTGCCCAGCATGAGCTGGAGTGTGGGGGGTGTGGACTGGAGCCCCACAACCTTGGGACCCACTCCTTCAGTTCAGGCCAGGCAAACCCCAGCCTGAAACTGTCTTCTTCCTCCTTCTCGCTGCAGACAGCACTAGAGCTGGTAGGGGGTGTAGGGCTGCATGAGCCATGCCCCAATCATGGGACAAATAGACAGGCTCAAACTCCACCCCCCGACCTAACAGGCGAACATCTGTTGAGTTGACGGGGAGGTGGAGGGTCACTCTAACCTATGGCACTTTATGCAAAGTGTCATAAGCTAGAGCGGGGACCTGCACGTCTGTGAGTGCCTATTATGCCTTTATTTACACTAAGGGCTGCAACCAAGGTTGGAGCTCTGTTTTGCTTGGCCTTATAAAAATAAATAGGGAGAGAATCCCTGTCCTGAAGATCTTAGAGTGCAAATGCACAACAGCAGCGACTGGTGGGAGGGAAACTAGTAAGGTAACTTGTCCCAGGCTACATACCGGCTGCATCTACCTGTGAAATTAATGCGGTGCAATAACTCTAGCTACCTGAAGGCCTGGGGGGTCAGCCTGCTATCCCGGAGCTGCTCCACCTTGGATCAGCATGCTGCAGAGGGACAGGCTGGGGTGTGAGGGTGCTCCATTGCAGGGCTAGCTGGTAGGCAGCCCCTGGACTGAAGCGCTCTTGTGCCCCAACCAGCTCTGTTAGCAACTACATGTGCATTGTTGTGCAGTAAAGAGCTGTGCTGTAGGACAGTACTTGTGTTTACAAGTACTAACCTATAGTGGAGTTAATTAGCTTACTCTGTTCTAATAGCACTGCACATGTAGACACTGAAGTTTACTGTGGAGCTAATTAGGCAACTCCACAGCAAAGATTTCATGTACATCATTTGTACTTACTTTTCAGTGCAGTATTTGACTCCACTGAAAGATACTACTGTCACTATGATGACACTTGACTGTGGAGCTAATTAGTCTGCTCCTCAGTGGGCACATCTACATGTGAAGTTACGTTGCTGTAGCATCCACAGGCAAAAACTGTGATGCTGCTGCTGTATCGCCGTAGTAACACACTCCCTCAGAACAGTGCATTGCTATGGCAACATACAGGCTAAAAATAATCGTGTGCCACCAACACAGTGCAGTATAGGCTGTTACTGCGCTGTTATCTAGTACTTCCTTTTGGAATTTCCTTTTGGTACTTCCTTTTGGAAGTCCTAAATGACCTGCAGTAACAACAGTGCTAACAACAGTGCTGTAGAGCCATGTTTAGATGCATCCACTGAAAATGAAGGCAGTACATGGACTTTGCCGCATGATATCTAAATATCAATGTAACTTGCATTAATTTCATACACTGTTTATGCTTTAACATACACCGGTGTATGGAGGCAGACAAGATGATTAGCTTTTTCAGAGTAGCAACCACAGTGAGTACTTACTATGATGCCTTGTAACTAACTGGTGAGGGAAGTGATAATAGCTTATTGCTATATCAGCAAAGGACTGTGTCTGGACAGAAACAGACATAAGAAAGCTATACCAGTCTCACTTACATCTGTGAAGTTTTCCTCCTAATTTTCCTGGGGTAACTCTACTTTGAATTCTAATAAATAACACCAATAAATGCATGTCATGTGCATACTCCTTTATTCACTGGTATAATGGTGGGTTACAATGTTCTTTGCGTCTTTGCTCTTTGAGTCTAGGCTGGGGCTGAGTTTATGTAACATACATAAGGTAGAAGAAAGGGAAATCCCTGACAGATTCAATTAGGCAGTGATCCGAATTTGGACTAAGGCAGGGCTGTTCAACTCCTAGGCTGCCAGGGGCCATGACCCACTCAGGCTGCACCAGCAGGGGTTGCACTCTGTGGGCTGCAGTAGTGTAAGCCATGGGCTGCTGCCACTGTGTGGTTCCCCTTCCCACCCCTACTGCACTACAGGTGTGGATGGGTAGGGGGCAGCCACCTCTCTAGCTAACTGGCCACAGGTTCCCCCACTGCATTGCAGCTCAGGTTCCCTCACCATTATGGGCTGTGCTGCACCATGCTGTCCCTTGGGGCAGGCAGAGGAAGAAGAAATTGGAGAGGGGGCCTGGAGTCCCTGGCTGCTGCTGCAGCTAGAGCAATAGGGTGATCATTGGCCAGCTGGGAACCTGTGGTCTGCAGATTAACACCTTCTGTGGGTTATCAGTTGGACAGCCCTGGACTAAGGCATTCCCATTCTCTTCATAATTTAGTATGCTAATTATGATTTGTCAGAAGCTTTCAAAGAAACATTTTGGTAAATATATCAACCCTGGCAGGATGCCAGGGATCCCAAAACTTCTACAGCTTGTGACTCTGGGGGAATCTTGCTATGCAAACTGCTTGAGTAATAAAGATCCCACAGCTTCCATGGTATGTGACTCCAGGCAGCTTCACCATGTTAACTCTTTTGCATTTGAGGACATTAGGGCTTCCTGAAGACTTTATGCTTGGGGTTCCAAGACTTTTCAGCTCCTTCATCCATTACAGAAAATGCCCTGACTCCAGGGATTTTCCAGACTGCTCCTGACTCTACAAGATACCCTCATGTAAGCAGACTTCCTAGACTGATCCTGAATCCACAGGAAGTGATATAAGGCAAGCTTGAGAGCCATGTCTGCCAGCCGCTCCATTTTATTTCAGAAAATGTTTTGGGGAGCATGGTCTTTGCAATATCATGTTTTGCTTTTAATAAATTTACATTGTTCTGTGGGGACGATGTAGTCAAACTGCTGCCCTTTGCATTGAGAGTGGAAGCTGGTGAGGCTTGTGATGGTTTCATAGTTTGTAGGGTCGGAAGAGACCTGAGCAGATCATCAAGTCTGACCCCCTGCCATGGCAGGAAAGAGTACTGGGGTGACCCCAGCAAGGTGTACATCTAGCCTCCTCTTAAAGACCCCCAGGGTAGGAGTCAGCACCACTTCTCTTGGAAGTTGGTTCCAGATCCTAGCCGCCCTGACCGTGAAGTAGCACCTCCTGATATCTAGCCTAAATCTACCCTCTGCCAGCTTGTGACCATTATTCCTAGTCACTCCTGGTAGTGCTTGGGGGAACAGGGACTCCCCCAGTGCCTGCCGGTCCCCTCTGACTAGTTTGTAACAGGCCACTAGATCCCCCCTTGGTCTTCTCTTGTCGAGGCTGAACAGGTTCAGGTCCCATAGCCTCTCCTTGTAGGGCCAGCCCTGCTGCCCCTGATCATGCTAGTGGCCCTCCTCTGGACCCTCTCCATGTTGTCTACATCCCTCTTGAAGTGTGGCACCCAGAAATGGACACAGTATTCCAGCTGTGGCCTGACCAGTGCCACATAGAGGGGGAGTATCACCTCCTTGGATCTGCTTGAGATGCATCTGTGGATGCATGACAAGTTGTGGTTGGCCTTCCTAACTGCATCCCCACATTGCCGGCCCATGTTTATCTTGGCATCAATGATGACTCCAAGATCCTTTTCTGCCTCTG